TTAATCTGTTTTTTTCTTTCGAAATCTCTATTCCAAATAATGTGACAGGAATGTCACTCTTAAAATATCTGAGTAGAAAATGAATCCTCAGACAAAGCATTACCAGCTTTTAATAGACTACTATAGCCAAACAAAATATCTTTTTACAAAGAAATACCATTGTTGTTTTTCTTTAATCAACTTTTTAAAAGTTTGTCTAGTAGTTTACATAGAAGTTCTCAGCCCTAGCGGGTTTGCCTCAGTGGATAGAGAGTCGGACTATGGACTGAAGAGTCCTGGGTTCCTTCCCACCAAGGGCACATGCCAGGGTTTCAGGCTAGGTCCCCAGTAGGGGGTGTGCAGGAGGCAGCCAATCAATGATTCTCTCTCATCATTGATGTTTCTCTCTCTCTCTCCCTTCCTCTCCGAAATCAATAAAAATATATTTTAAAAAAAGAAATAATTAAAAAAAAAAAGTTCTCAATCTCCCACCTGTCTTGAAGAAGTTGAGGATTTTGGGTCCTTCCTCAGGCTCATAAGACCTGCCCAACCAATTAAGGGGAATGGGGACAGAGGATAGTACTACCTTTTTTAAAAAAATTAACTGTTGTAGTTGGTTTATTTCTAAGTTGAACCCATTAACAACAGATATAAAGTATTATAAAATATTAGTTTTGAGCTATTTGAAGTGATTATTTTTTTTTAAATATATGTTTATTGATTTCTGAGAGGAAGAAGAGAGAAACATCAACAATGAAAGGGAATCATTCATCAGCTGCCTCCTGCATGCCCCCTACCAGGGATGGAGCCTGCAACCCAGGCATGTGCCCTGATCGGTTTGCAATCAAACTGTGCCCTTCTGGTTCATAGGTTCATACTCAACCCATGAGCCACATGGGCTGGGCTGAAGTAATTTTTTTTAAAATATATTTTTATTGATTTCAGAGAGGAAGGGAGAGGGAGATAGAGATAGAAATATCAATATCAATGATGAGAGAGAATCATTGATTGACTGCCTCCTGCACACCCCCTACTGGAGATGGAGCCCGCCTGTGTCCTTGACTGAAATTGAACCGGGGACCCTCCAGTCTGCAGGCTGACGCTCTATCCACTGAGCCAAACCAGCTAGGGCTGAAGTAATTCCTTATGGCAGTGGTTCTCAACCTTCCTAATGCCGCGACCCTTTAATACAGTTCCTCATGTTGTGGTGACCCCCAATTTCATTGTTACAAATTGAACATATTTAAGCATAGTGATTAATCACAAAAACAGTATGTAATTATATATGTGTTTTCCGATGGTCTTAGGCGACCCCTGTGAAAGGGTCATTCGACCCCCAAAGGGGTCGCGACCCACAGGTTGAGAACCGCTGCTTTATGGTGTCTTGTATTTAAACTAAATGGTTTAAAAAACATACTGTGACTCTCTCAAACATTTGTTAAAATCTTTACTTTGCCATCATTCAACTTTGTAGGATTGAGACCCCAAAATAAAATTATCAGTCTTTTTTTTAAAAAAAATATTTTTTATTGATTTTTTACAGAAAAGAAGGGAGAGGGATAGAGAGTTAGAAACATCGATCAGCTGCCTCCTGCACACCCCCCACTGGGGATGTGCCCGCAACCAAGGTACATGCCCTTGACCGGAATCGAACCCAGGACCCTTCAGTCCACAGGCTGACGCTCTATCCACTGAGCCAAACCGGCCAGGGCTATCAGTCTTTTTTTTTTTTTTTTTTTTTAAAGCATGTCATTTTATTGGAACTACATTTTTTAAAAATATATATATATATTATTGATTTTTTACAGAGAGGAAGGGAGAGGGATAGAGAGTTAGAAACATCCATGAGAGAGAAACACTGATCAGCTGCTTCCTGCATACCCCCTACTGGGGATGTGCCCGCAACCAAGGTACATGCCCTTGACTGGAATCGAACCTGGGACCATTCAGTCCTCAGGCCGACACTCTATCCACTGAGCCAAACCAGTCAGGGCTTTCTATTGATTTTTAGGGAGAGTGGAAGAGAGAGGGAAAGACAGAAACATCGATGTGGGAGCCGTTGGTCCAAAGGCTAAGCTCTACTGAGCCAACCAGCTAGGGCTAAAATTATCAGTCTTTAGCCTCCAAAATAATTTGTAATAGCATATTGTTAATTTCTGTAAGTTAAGGAAGAGTAACTGATGATGGCCTTTGTTAAGTGTTGATTTCCTAACCACTGTAACTTGGCAACTGGGTCCCCCCCCCCCCCCCCCACTTAGTTAGACTTTAACTAGAAGGCAGTAGAAACTGGAATTGACAAATCTGTAGAGTGCAGACCAGTATGTACTGTATTGTTAATTAAGATTCTTCTGTTTAATTGTATTTTCTAGTTTTAAAATCTAGAAGCAATATTATTTTGGGGTCTTAAAAAGTTAGTGATCGCCACTTTTCAGGAAAAAAATACCTTTGTAATATCAACTGTTTAGAATCAACCTAGCTCTTAAAAGCTTTTAGATCATATTTTATCTGACTTATTACATTGAAAATTGTTGTATTTAGTTTATTTTGCTATGGAAATATAAGTTTGTTGTTGTAAACTATTTACTGTGTAGATTGGCAATGATAGGTTTTATTTATTTAGTTATTAATATATTTTTATTGATTTCAAAGAGGGAGAGCCCTAACCAGTTTGGCTCAGTGGATAGAGCATCTGCCTGCAGACTGAAAGGTCCCAGGTTCAACTCCGGTCAAGGGCATGTACCTTGGTTGCAGGCGTATCCCCAGTAGAAGGTGTGCAGGAAGCAGCTGATCGATTTTTCTCTCTCATCGATGTTTCTAACTATCCCTCTCCCTCTCTGTAAAAAATCAAAATATATTTTAAAAAAACAACTTATTTTCTTTAAAAGAAAAAAAAAAAGATGGTGAGAGATAGAAACATCAGTGATAAGAGAGAATCACTGATTGCTGTCTCTTGAAAGGCCCCCTACTGGGGATCGAGCCTGCAACCAGGCATGTGCCCTGACCTGCATTTGAACCATGACCTCATGGTTCATAGGTCAACACTCAACCACTGAACCATGCCGGCCATGTGGCAGTGACAGATTTTTTTTAATATATTTTTTATTGATTTTTTACAGAGAAGAAGGGAGAGGGATAGAGAGTTAGAAACATCAATGAGAGAGATCCATCAGCTGCCTCCTGCACGCCCCCCAGTGGGGATGTGCCCGCAACCAAGGTACATGCCCTTGACCGGAATCGAACCTGGGACCCTTCAGTCCGCAGGCCGACGCTCTATCCACTGAGCCAAACCGGTTTGGCTGTGACAGATTTTATATTGAAGCTAACTTACCCACTTTCCAAGTACATTTATTTTAAAGCTTACCTTGAGCAATACGTCCTTCCCTGTTGTATTCCAAAACCAAATAAAATGTGCTGCCATGGGTTTTCTGTGCAATAGTTGATCTTCACATGTAGCCATACTTTAATGCTAAACAGTGTTTATGTCAGGGCCCTTTCCAATTCAGTATGTTTATTTTGTGTACTGAAAGGATCTAAGTTACACATAAGCGTGTTTTTTTTTTATTAATATTTAATTTCAGCATCTAGTTCTTCAAATATCAGTTCATGCAGCGCTATTAGTATGAGGGGCTATTCCAAATAGGATTGCAACCCTATTCAGGAACCCAACATT